CATTTCAAAAAAAAAATTTCAATATTATCCATTTTATGTTTCACACCTGTATGATATGTGTTTGTCAGTCGAGTCTATTAACACCTATATTCTGAAGCATGTCTCCTAAAAGGGATATATGCATGTAAATATTTAGAAATATATCTTTATATACAAAGATAGAGATACAGAAAAAAAAATTGTGACCTTCAAATTCCAACAAAGAGGATATCTTTAATAGTGAAACCTATTTTTTAAAAATATGTGCCTTAATAATTATGTAGTTGTCATCAGTTCTGCAGTGCTCTTTCTCTGTTTGATATTAAAGCTGTCAACACCTCTTGCTAGGTTTGCCTGTTTGGGATTGGCGAATAAGGTCAAAAAGTCTTGCTAAGTTTAGATACTGTTTATATATTACGTAGTAAAGCATTACTTGGTGATTCCCTGTTCGACATTTAAAGGTCGTTAGTTTTTGATTGCATGGACTTCTTTTGTTTCTTGTTTCATTCTTGGTACAGTGTGTAGCTGAGGATAACAGTGTAAATTTCCATTTTTTACTGAATGAGAATATTACAGACTTGCAAAGTATTTCAAGAACTATTGAGAATGAATGTATTTTAAACTGTTAGGTTTTTTATGCGGATGCTAATGTTATTATGGCCGAATCAGCCGACGAATTACAACATGCAATTAATATATTCCACACATATTGTTTACAATGGAAGTTAAAAGTGAATGTCGAAAAAACGAAGATTCTTGTATTTTCAAAGGGCTTTATGTAAAAACGAAAATTTCATTACGATAAGTCGCCTTTTTAGTTATTATTATCCCCACGAAAAATTTAATTAAAATATGTAAGTAAAAAAAAATTAAAATATTTAGGCGTTGTTTTTTCACGCTCAGATTACTTTTGTAGAACAACAAAAAAACCACATATATGCACAAAAAAACGATGTATGACAATATAAGAAAAATTAGACAATTTACGTTACCAGTTGACTGTCAATTTGACCTTTTTGATAGAGTTGTAGTACCGATCTTACTATATGGCTCTGAAATTCTTGGGGGTATGGGGCTATGGAAATCTTGATATTATTGACCGTTTGCATTTGAAGTTTTTAACGTATGTATTTAATTTGAAAAGTTCCACGCCATTGTACATGGTCTATGGTGAAACAGGTCGCTTCCCTTTGCATATCTCGGTGTATTGTAGAATGATTTCTTATTGGGCAAAGTTTTTTTCCGGCTCAAAAAAATTAAATTGTAAATGTTTTATACAAACATATGTATAAACAGTACTGTAATGGAAACTTAACAAACCCATGGTTAGATTGTATACAGAAAATATGTAATATGTGTGGTTTATGTGTGGTTTATCAAATGTACGAACAGGCTGTCAATATTAATTGTGAATCGTAAATGGATAAATGCAACTGTAAAACAAATATTACAAGATCAATTTATTCAAAAGTGGTCTTGTTACGTTAATTGTTCAAATAAAATCTTTAAAAAACTTTTGATTACAACATTATACTGATAAGTTATCAACTAAATTTAGAAAAAAAAAAATAAAATTTCGTACTGCAAACATTTACCAGTAGACACTGGAAGATGGCATGGTATACCGCTGCGTGATAGAATTTGTAAACTTTGTAACAGTACTCAAACTGCTTATGAATTGCATTATTTATCAGATATTAAAATAATACCTGGGTTATTATTATTCCCACAAACAAAATGTTATCAAATTCATGGAACTTATGTCAACTTAAAGCGAGGAAATGTTGAAACAGTTATGCATGTTTATCTTAAAAAGAAGATGGGCGAACAAGGCGGGCAGAATGCCTATAGCGTCAGATATTAAAAAATTATATCAAATATGTGAATTGGTTAAATAAATTACCGTCTAATTATTTAAATTTTAGAAATTATGAGAAAAAAACTTTTCTGAGAGAGAAAAAAATCTCGTAAAAAAATTTTCTTTCATGAAATTATTAGATGATATTCGTGGGATTCGAACCCTAGCAATAAAAATCCGGTACTGCTTTTAGATTATATCATGAAGATGCATTTAAATCATGTTTGTGATAACGAACTTGAAGTATTTTTAATGTTATGTCATAAAAGTGAAATTGCTCCATGTTTTTGAAAACCAAAAAATGTGTATTTTATTGCCAACTTTTAGATCCTCTTTCAAAAAAATTGAAAAATAAATCATTTTTGTAGTTTGTGTAAGCTTTTTCATAGGCAAATATTTTTAGTCTTTGTGAGATTTTTTTAAATTGTGACATGAAGTATACATTAATATTAGATGAAATATCAGTAGAATTTGGATTCAATTGAGATTAAAATTTTCACTTCTTATCTGTCGCACTATAGGCATTCTGCCCGCCTTATTCGCCCATCTTCTTTACGATGCGGTCTCTCCTCCTTGATATATTTTCCCTTTTATTTTATAGAAACTCTTTCCTACATGAGAAATGCATTTTTCCGCGTGGTATTAATTTACTTTATGTACGCAGTCACACTTTTTTCGCGGAAATTTGTCGAAGCGTACTTAATATAAATGTATGGTATATAGTGATAGTTGAAGAAATCAGCGTAATTTTCTACCTGGGGATTAAACAGAAATTAAGATTCCGCAGAATTATGACCCCGCGGAAAAGGTACTCTACAGTATTTTATTCATATGTCATCATTTTGTTATAAAGAGATTATGTACTTCTGACCAGTTTGTATATATAATGTAAAATAATATAAATTTTGATCAGAAAAGCTTCGGCTCAGGTGAACTAATAATGTATACGGTATTTGAACCCCATGTACAAATCTTGGTTTGGGTTTGGGTTAATAAAATGAACTTGAACATCCCCCGAGAACCATTGTTAACCTAGGGTCATTTTCGGTTGACAATGGGTTTATTAGGGGTAAACTTTTCAATATTTCCCTCAACTACAAGCATGCAGTATTAATTAAAACAATAATGTTTTATTTCAAAGTATGTATTCTTACCCATCCAGTAGTTGTTTTTTGGATCACCAAAACCTTTTTTGTATTCTTCCCAAGTTCGATAGAAATCAGTTGAACCGTCTTTTCTTTTCTGTATAACCTATAAATATGGTAGAAATCGTTAATCTATCTTCTGCTAATAACATACTTGCCTTTCTTTTCGTTGGTATGAAAATAGACTTACAAATTATACATGCATACATAAAAAACCTTACAAATAAATGCATATAAACAAACTTCACATAAAACATACATATTTAGAAATACACATATTTACACATACTTACATGTAAACATACACGTATTAATACAAACATACATGTAAAAAAATCACACTTATACAATTACTTTTCTATTAACATACACGCACAAACACACTCTCACAATCACAAACAGAATAATCTGTGTCACATGACCTCTTTGTACTCACCGTCCATCCGCCTCCATCTGTAGTCATGTCACAAAAGACGGAAGTGATGTCAGCATTAATCGATATCTCATAGACGCCATCTTTTCCTTTTAACCACTTATTTTGCTCCAGAATATTGTAACAATCCTTTGGGTACACTTTTGATTTTACTAAAAAAGTAATTGAAATAGACACAGAGAACATTAATATTAAAAAAAAAATATCTGCATCAATATATGCATCACCGGCCTAAAATGAATTTGAAGAATACTTAACATGATCCGTAATTTTATAGTTTTTAATATTTCATTTAATTTCTGTAAAAAAGGTAATTAAATAGTTTATGTCAAAAAAAAAACAAAAATACGGACTTATTTGAAAAATGGAAATACGTGTATTCATATCGAAAATGTTGCTCGTAAAATTGTGTAAAAAGTAATTTCTAGTATGTATATTATTTTTTTTACCGTATCTACATTTTATATACATGTATATCATGGCACAATTTAGTTATGATGAATTCAGATATTCTGAAGAAAAAAATATCAAGGTTACTGGTACCTTAAATGTCAATGCGAGTTCCATTTTTTAAATACAATATTATATATAATACTATATAGTATGAAAGGAATAATAATTATACTTAAACTAAAACATACATTCGGTTAATTTGGAAAAAATATTATGGTACGATAAATGTCAAATGCAAACGAGTTTGACTTCATTTTTAAGCACAATATTACAGTGTGAAAGGAATAGTTACTTAAACTAAAACTTAAGGAAACTTACCAGTAGATAAAGAGGAAGAGACGTTAATAACCTGCAGGTTTAGAATTTTATGTTCCTCCAGTAAGCCATCTAGTGTGTCATTGATAGATATTGAAAATGTCTTAAGGGAGTTTTCTATTTTATTAAATCGACCCTCATACACGGAACTTTTCAAATCTTTCAGTGTGTTCTTCACATCATTTAACTGTTCTCTAAAGAGACGATTTTCTGTTGACAATTCTCGGTTTCTATTTCTGACATCCGATTCTTTGTTCTTTAACTGCTGAATTTCTTCGTGCAGCGTCTCATTCTGCATCTGCAGTTGATGTTTAATTCTTCTGTTTTCCTCGAATAATTCTCTGCTTTCCCTCTGGAGAACTGAAGTTTGATTTCTTATTAAAATTATTTCCTTATCCATTAAATCTTGGGTAATTCTGACAGTCTCATTCATAGCTTCTAACGCCCGTTTAATATTTGTAGCCTCTGCTTCTATTCCGTTGTCTCTTGTCTCTAAATCCTTTAACTCTTTTGTTAACATTGCCAGTTTCTGCTTCAGCACCTGAGAATTATTTTTGCTCTCTATAACGTCCATTACCAAGTTCTGGATTCTCTGAACCATAGAAAACCTCACTAGACTTTCCTGGTTCAGAATGTCCAGTAAAACACTGGACACTTTTTCTCCGGACATCGTGCTTCCGTCCAAAATAGTTTTCTCTAGATTGTTACTATCAGCAGAGACTTGTCCCACAATCAGCAAAATTATAAGACTTATAAGACACACTAGACTCTGTAGAATATACATTTTGTCAAATCGTTTTCTTTTGCTTGCAAGTCAGGAATGAAATTTACATTCTGGCAAACAATAAGAATATTTATATCAAATCGGACAAAATAAAAGGGATTTTTTCTCTTCATGTGGCAAGACATTAAGGTAATAAGAAATGTTTTGTGCAGTATTTACGTAATTCCATCTTTTGAAGTGTTACGAACAGGTCACAGATATCAAAAAGCCACTTATTATATAATTATGCCTGAGTAATAAAACAAATAAGTTGTACATTTAGTGATATTAAGGAGCATAATACATGTTCATTTGAATTAGTTGATTAAGATAGTTAAATAACATCAAAAAGATTTATTATCTCTGGTATACTAGTATATTGAAACAAATTTAGCATCTGTCTCAATTATCTATCATGGGATTCTGGTTTTCATTATTCAATATTTACAAAATGAAAGAATGTTTATCTTCAGAAGAAAAAAGATAAGACAGAATGGTCATTTAAATTCTTTCTTTGGTAGAAGGTTATTTATGAATTAGCATAAAAATGAATACTAATGAAAAACAAAACATGATGAGAAAAAGTATTTGCCTAGAAATATAAAATTTACGAAGAAATGGCTTTGATGTCAAAAGGGACACTAAGATTTGTGAACATTGTCTTTGTTAAAGAATAAGGACAGTTCTGAAATATTGCAGATGTTCTCATCTAATAATCAAAGTACTGAGAGCACTGATAGATGGTGATGTGAATCTATTGATTGTTGGCCTTTGTTTCCATGTCACGTTTTACGGCCTTTCGAAGATAATTCATTCCTCTCAGGCGCCACCACTTGCTTGTGGAGGACTGCAAATATTGACCTGTACTCGGCACTTAGGGTTTTGAGCAGTGACATTAAGCTTTCGAATACATTCAACAGATTAAAATATGTATATACAATAAATGTACAAAACCTGTCCTTATTGTGTAATCTTTTTCAAAGCAATTTATATATTGTTCAGATTTAAAGGGTGAACAATATCAAACCTTCCTGAAGCAAAGAGCAAGGAAAAAACAATTTTGTTTGGGTATTTCAACGTAATTTATTAGATTCTTTTACATAACAATACTTTTCAAAATCATGGGAAATTGGAAATAACTTTCTTGTTAACGTTAATTCATTATTAACTGTGGGCGTGTTTTACTATATCGTTCTCAGAAAAAAAAAACAAAATCATTGTCCATCACAAAATAAAGAATATTTACACTACAGAATAAAAACACTAAAAAGTACACAAATGAGTCATTAATAGCCTTATATTTATTATAGAAAATCATTTTATAGGACTGCTTTACATTAACTCGTGCGTTTGTGTCTTATCATCATAACAGTCCTTTGTAGTGCTCTATATCCGTTTGTCCAGCGATACCAATACGGACATTTATAGCTAGTCACCGCAGACAGTGCATACTTCCCGTTAAGATTGGAGTTTGTACAAGCACTGTACCACCATGCTCCGTGATGATTTATAGCACAGTTGTAACTAGCTTTATCATTATCCAGGTCCTTTGTACTGAATTTCATACCATCGTGTGGACCCAAACTGTCACCTACAGCAAAACATTGGAAACAATAACTGATATAGGTGTAGAATTAAGAGTAAAAGATCTAGAGGTAAATAAAAATTCAACTCTATCAGGCACATAGCATCGTTTTTGAAAGGGGGCAACCAGAGAGAATTTTTTTAATTTACCTGTAAAAGTTGACAAGCAATCCCCCCCCCCCAAAAAAAAAATTTAAAGGAAATTTCCCAGACTCGAAAATCCTATTTCGAGAGGGTGGGAGAGGGGGGTATTGGGTAGTGGCCAACTTTTTTCATGACCAACTTCCTTTTCACTTGCAATTTTTTTTGCGTACAATACTACATTTCCTTGATGTCACTATACTGTGGTCAGAAGTGAGGGGTGTGGGGGGCAACCAACCTTTCAATGTACATTTTCAATAGTTAAGGTAATGCGGGGAAAAGGGGGGGGGGGGCAGGGAAATATATTTCGATGCCGATTGAATACTTGTGGCCTCTCCTTACATTACCCCGGTCATTGAGAATCAATGTGAGATACAGTCATTTGGACATAAGATGTACTAAGTATTTAAAGATCGTTACTCACACTCTTTGTTTAGCAATTATTTTTAATTAATAAAGGGCATTTTACAACACATCTAAAACTTGTGTGTTTTATGCCCTTATCACAGATTTGTTTAATTTTGTTTAAGGGCATATATCGATAATTTGTATTTTGACAGAAAATTTAGAGTTTTTATTTTCTATTTCTGCAAAACACAGCTATCTGTTGGGTTCTGTATGAAATGATAGTGATTACGTTTGCATCGGAAAGTGTCTGATGCATGGTTAATTTGTGTCCGATGTACGGAGAAATGAATATACTATTAAAAACCAGCTTTAAAAAGAATTATATACAAACATTGAAGTGAAATTTCTTTAAAATTTATGTAATATTACCAATCTTTGACAAAATTTACCAAAGTCTGACTCGTTCCGTTGAAGTCGAATTTAAAAGAACGATAACTCTAAAAATTGCTTAATCATAAATTTCTGGTTATTCCCCTTTGATGATGTAAAATATGACGTAACCTCAAGGCCATTCTCGGAGTATTTTTATCACAACATGATAAAAACAATCGGTATCATTCAAAATTTAAATCTTCAGCTTCAAGTTAGAAACAAATAAATACACAGAACTCTTAAGTTGAAAGAGAGTTTATTGCCTAAATTTGTCCAAAGCAAGGTATGTGTCCGATGCATGGTTAACTCTAATACGAATTCGAGTCTATATCTATCACAAATGAGTAAATTAAACAAATTGTAATCCAGTACTTAACATAAGTATGAAAAAGAAAATTGTTGCTTTACATGCAGAAAATGAAATTACTGTTTTACAATTTATACTGCTAGCCTCATCGTTTACGTAATGTAATATAATAGAAATCAATTCACATTAACCTAACTGATGTTTACCATTTCCCCGCATAATAAGCATAACTTTCTAGTGATGGTAATATATTACAATTATAATTTTGTTTTAAAATATTAGCAAGTTTATATTCAGACTCTAATGAGTAACAAAAGCGTTAACAGGGCTATTAAAACGTTCTTATCATACCGGACACTGTGAGTTGGTAATATTTTGAATAAAAAATAAAATAATTTTTCTTACGTTATCACAGACTAATGTATGAAAAAAATTTGGCAAAAATTTGAAATTTAATTAACTTTTTAAAACAAAAAAAATGCACAGATTGCGGGGAAACGGTAAATGAGCGTGATTTTGCGTCAGAAATAGGAAATGGTATATGCGTTAAAATGCGTGACTGCGGGGAAGGGGGTTAATTTATAAGTATGAAAAAGAAAATTCGATGTCGTCTTTCTTTACATTCTCCAAGCAGAGCAAATGAAATTAAGACTTGTGTTTTACAATTTATACTGCTAGCAAATTCATCGTTTATGCGTATTCAATGTAATATAATGTCTAGTCTTATAAAATAAAATCAATTCACATTAACCTAACTGATGTTCCAAGGATGTCTTTAAAGAACGATAACTAATCATTGTAATGTTTCATAATTATTGTTGTGATCAGCTGAAACGACTTGATGTTTATTAATATATTACAATTATAATTTTGCTTTAAAATATCAGCATTATTCGACATTTATATCCACAGAGTATGGTATTGTGCTGTCGAAGGTTAACCTCAGACTCTAATGAGTAACAAAAGCGTTGCAACAGGGCTATTAAATACGTTCTTCCAATAAAAATCAATTACCTGCATTTCCCGTGTAACCGGACACTGTGAGTTGGTATTTATCAGCCTCGTTTCCGATATAAAATGTTGAATATTCAGCATACGCCGTGTCCCCGTTAAATTTCTGGAGATCCACTCGCAGATCCTGGTCCTGATCTTTGGTTAAAACATGGATGGCGTCATTCCCTGTGATGTAATTGTATAAAAATAAATGGAAAACCTTTGATTTAGACACCTTTTTTCTCCAAGAATAAAGACTAATTCTTAAAATACATACTGTGGAGAAAATATTCACACAAGGTTGGAGAAAATGTACATATTCAGCATCATCAAAATCCCCGTTAAATTGACAGAAATTGAATACAATAGAGGAGTATTAAAAACGAACGTCCATTCGTATCATGTAATTGTAAAAAATAAATGGAATTTTATTGAAAAAGAGATAAAATACAAGCAAATGAAATATATTTTCAAATAAGTGGCATTAGGTTAACGCGAGTCACTTTTAAATAGTTGAAAATGAGTCTAATTCGATGTTCTATGAAATATAAAGAACAATTGTAAATTTATACTTCTCATGTCATAAAATTGTTCACTGATTTACTTTAAAAAGTATGTCTCCTTTAAGGTATATCTCTCGTGAAATTTGTTATATCGAGAATTATTTGAGAAGTTTTGGATAAGAACTCATAAAGAATGACTCAAAATCGCAGAGAAAACAGGGGGTCAGCGTGCAACTTACTGAGCTACTGTACTATTAAGTTTACATTTTTGCACTTATATTATAACTCTTTTGTAAATCACCTTAACCTTTCTCTGAGTAAAAGTATGCGAGACTAAAGTTCCAAGATGTTCAATTTAATAAATGTGCAGATTTGCTAAAAATCTGCTAAATATCCTTCCACCACAAGAAACAGTTCCTCATATTTCTTTTCTTATTGTTTTTGAGCATTTTTCATTGAATGTTGAATTTTGTTACATTGTTTGATTTAAATATGCCATTAAAATTGAATTATAAGAATTAGTTTAAAAGAAATAGATTCTGACTAGGCTTTTCAAAAAAGGTGACGAATGACATACCTTATAATATTAGAATTCAAACAATTTGTGCTTCCTTAATTGCAAACACCCTTTTTTATATTCAGTCATTATCTTAAACTTAAATATGTCAACAAAGGAAATGACGCGGTTAATTTAATGATTGCATACATCAGTACTCTGAAGTTGACATCAAAATATGTTTGAGTTTCAGATTGAAAATATCTATGTTGTTTTTGGAGATGAGGTCTTCCAACAATCTATTGAAAATCCCATGGGTACCATTTTGCGCTCTTTTATGAACAGACTTATTTTTGTATTCATATGAAGCAGAACTTGTGCAAAATCGTAAACGTTAAAATAAGAAAACACTTGTCGAGGGCTTTATCTCGATATTCAGATAAGTCGACAATGTATTTTCAATTGACAATGGCAAACTCCATTCTTATGTCAATACATCCTGGTGAGCTTGAGATAAAAGATAACACAGAGTCTGACACATCTGTTTCATACTTGGATATTTTAATTGAAAAAGACCTAATGGTAATCTAACAAACAAGCTATATGATATGATATGATGACTTTTACCTTTCGTCAACTTCCCTCACTTATGCAGCAATATACCTTCATCACCTGCGTACAGAGTTTATATATCTCAGTTGATTCGATTTACAAGATCATGCTCTACGTATGAACAATTTCTTAGACGAGGTAAATTATTGACAGACAAGTTGATGAAGAATCAAGAATTTCATCAATGTCGTTTATAGTCATCATTGTGTAAGTTCTATTGTCGATACAATGATCTTTTCAGCAAATCTAATTTATCATTGAGTCAATTGCTGACTGACTTTTTTCATGTTTATTATTAGCCCATTATTTATAAACTGAATTGACGACTGTTATTCCGTTATTTCCCGATCATGATCCCACCTCTGATGTTTCGGAGGTCCGTGTTTGTTCTGCTCCTATTTTGTCATCTTGATGGACTTTGGAGCTTGAATGTTCGTTATTGTGACATATTTACAATTAATCAAAGGGATCGTACCTGGTCATTTCCAGGGTTTGGTGTGTTCAACATAAACTGATTTAAAATTGATTTTGTACAATTTAAATGTACTGTTGAAATATACAAATACGTCCTTACCTTATCTAGGTAAACAATTATCGAATGGTAAACCAACATAACAATCGGAAGCAAGTAACAATAAATTATTTGGTATTCCTACCCTAATACAAAAGCCCAGTCGCCCTCGGACTACCGCGCATGTACTGTAGGGTGCCTTATTCAGGACGGACAGTATATATGTGATATCCCTTCAACCACTACACTCACTGTAGGATGCCTTATACAGGACGGACAATGAGTATAGCGGCCTGGACGACGGACTGGTCAGCCAATGCAGACGAATGAACTATAACTTTAAGGGTAGCCTCTTTACTTGAGGTTAACCTCTTTGTGGCAGGCCTTACAACTGGTTTGGCAAATCTCAAATGGCCTTCCAAATTCACTCTCTTACGAAACGAACAGGCGAGCAATAGCAATAACAATGCTTTATGCATAACACTAACAATTGCCTTCTCTCTTCGGCTGAACAATAACACAGACGACTACAGAGTCTCGGTATATATACCCCATCAAAGTCACGTGATCTCAACAATGACTAAATTAGAACTCTGCAGGTCGTACTTTAAGATTCCAAAATCATTACATAATCTCCATATATTTAATTGATATAAATTTTAATCATACCTAAAAGTTATTGCCTTTGCATACCTAAATCAATAATCCAAATTATTTAATAGGTTGATGATAAATGTATGCCTCATTATTTTGGTTAGGTAGATTTCAGTGATAATGAATAAGAGATATTCAAATACAAATATATTTACAATGTACAAAGAAAACAAAGACCTACAGAGACTTACCTATCCAGTAATTTTTAGTGACATTCCCAAATCCATGTTTATACTCGTTCCATGTCCTATAAAAATCAACGTCATCATCTTCTCGTTTCTGAATGACCTGTTTCGTAAATTAAAATATATTTTTAATGGCCTTTTGGAACTTATTGTGTTATAAACAATTTGATTGTATATAGAGGTTCTCCAAGTACGTCAAGACTTCCAACAATTTGTTGAGATTCTCACGGATACTCATTGTGTTCCGCCTAATTCCTACTTTAATATTCATTTGAGACGTGTTTTAAAAAAGAAAATAAAAAATTTAAAATTCTAATATCGTGGCCTTAAAAAATTGCATAAAAATTTCAATCATATGTTGATAAAATTTATCCTTTACCAGTCGAATAAAAGAACCTCAGAATCTGAAATTTCTATTTCATTTCTGGATATTTTACAATAAAGATAATATTTGATACTTTCAGAAAAAATCTATGTGATAAAAATGATAACTTTTAATTTTCGATTGTCAACTTCCTTTATTTATGAAGCATATAAAAGGAAATACTGTCTAGTTTGTTGGCAACGAGAGTTGGAAATGTGAGATAATTTGCATAACGGGCAAGGCCGTTATCAGTGATTACTTATATTTCCATTCCATTGTGAAAAAACATTGTAAATTTAGATTTAGGAAATGTTGTCCAGAAGATCTTAATTACACATGTCAATTTTAATAGTCCACGCCAACTGACGTCATACACAAAGATCCTTTGTGACATTTCCTCTATCGAAATTTTCAATCCGGTTGATGGCGCAGTGGTTAGAGCGTCTGCGTTGCGAAGTAAGGAGTCAATCCTTACGTCGCGGGTTCGAATCCCACTGTGGGACGTGGGGACCGGTCCTTCGGATGAGACCGTATAAACCGAGGTCCCGTGTTGCAGTAGGTGCTGGCACGAAAAAGATCCCTCCCTGCTCAATGGCCCCGAGTGCCGAGTATAGGACAAAATTTGCAGCTCTCCACCGGCTACTGGTGGCGTCTCCATATGAGTGAAAAATTCTCGAGAGGGACGTTAAACAATATACAATCAATCAATTAATCTATCCGGTTGAATTATCAAAAAATTAACTCACCTAACTTATAAAGAGTAACAATGTATCACAGATTAAACAAATAAAAATATATAAATCGATATATTATTATCTTCTACATATTGTTTATAAATTTTTGCAGTTTATTCTACACACTAGGACACATTTTATTTATAAACAATTTATGAAGCGAGACAAATTATTGACATTTAAGTTGATGATAAAGAGTATTATCATCGGTTAAAGTCAGCATTTAGAAAATTCTATAGTCGATACAATGACTGTAGTAGGTCATAAAGTGTCTAATTATGTCAAATATTGGCTGAAGTTTTGCCAAACACATATAAAGGCCAGTGATTTTTACACTCAGTTGTCTACAGATTTGTCAGTTTCTTTATGACAAAGAGTAAACAGCATCCTGACAGGTTCAGGGGATGCTCTTTCCTCTATGATACCTGATCCCATCTCTGATGTTCTAGAGGACGTATTTGCTCTGATTAAAATCTATATTGAACCAGTGGATCCTTAAACTTGATTTCTTTTCTTTTCTTTCATATTTTATTGATGAAAACCAAAGTTTATCTAATTTCAATAAAAATAATTTTTCTTCTAAGAATACTAGATATCTTCCATTTTTTATATGTTTTTTTTAAACATCAAACAATGTTCACCAATAGATATCCCACATCCAGTCAGCAAAGAATGAATATTTACTTGCCAATACCTATATCGAAAAGGATGTAACAACAAGTGCCAGATTTTTGTCACCTACATGAAATATATAGAGATAACAACAGTATTTAAGCCCAAGAGTTTATTAAACAATTCAGATTTTAAAGCAGGGTAAACTAGAGCGGTCCTCCAAAATCCTAGATGTGGGATCAGGTGCCATGGAGTAGAAATTAAACAGGTTTATTTATTAAAGATACTCTAGCAATTTCCTATATTACCAGCTATAGTATGTAAAATTCTATAATGTTTTAAGCAAAAAACATAAAACATTGATATTACTACATCACTTTCCGAACTGCTTTTTAATCTCATTGACTTCGGATAACGAGATGAAATAAAAAGTTTCCTAGAGTTTAAAAAAAAAGGTTTATTTAAAAGTTTAGATAATTTTGTTTACATAAAAAGTTTCAAGATTCTCCAGTGAATAACGTCCTAATTAAAGGAAAGTAATAATTCATGAAAAAATCAGAACACTACTCACCGTCCATCCTCCTCCATCTGTCGTCATGTCACAGTAGACTTCTCTCCGAGTGTCAGGGTATATAACATACATTCCATCTTGTCCTTTCCTGTTGGGGTCTTTTGCTAAGATGTCTAAACAATCCTTGTTTCTTTGTTCTAGTTAATGGAAGAAATTCGAAGATAACGAACAATAACTATGTTCAATATGTTAACAAACAATACAAATTAAAAAAAAAATAAAAACTATACAATATTTTAATAATAAGAAGACCAATTGAATCTGCTACAAGTGTCTTTGCATCATAATATTTTAAGAATCCATTCTCTCTTTCGCCCAAATATTGATAGACCCTTAACAAACAAAAATATTTTGATAACATTTCTCCATTTATTTAACAATAAAAATATAACAAAAGATATGTGAGATTTGTAATTTTCTAAAGGTACTTATGTACATATATTTACACAAACACTGTCCTAGTGTAAATACACGATTTTATAATTTTATGCAGAGCTGAAAAGGTGCTATTTTTCTACAAAAAAAACCATGATTCTTTGTATCATTAGTCACATTAGCGTGTAGGCTACCACATGTAAGGATAACAAACTGGGATCAGTCTCATAAGTCCACCAAAACAATACAAATAATAAGAAGAAAACAGAGGGACCCCTGAAAACAGATGGGATCGGGTACCATGGAGGAGAAAACATTACCTGTCAAAGGTCAGACTCACCGTGAGCTTCCTATCAATGGAAGATAAACAAAACTATCCGAGAATGAATTGGCATTAAAATAAAATCCTGACAATTTGTATCAAATATGTCAGTCAACATCCAATTTATTAATAGATTTTATTTGCAAACAATGCCATTGTGCCGACCAATCAATTTGCGAAATTGACTTTAATTAAACGAGATGGTAGCTACCCCTTTATTATCATTTTTTGTCAATAATAGCTACTACCCCTTTATTATCAATTTTTTGTTTTTTTTTCTTACCGATTTTGTGCGCGCGATTTCTCGAGAAAAGCTCCGATTTTCATGATTAAGAACATAAAAAAATCTAGAGATATATTTTTTTATTTTGATGACGTCACTTCCGGTCCGGAGATTTCTGCGATTTAGTGATTTTTAGAGGGTCACTTTGTCCGGCAGTTTTCTCAAAAAGCACTTAACACAGAAGCATGAAATTTTCAGTGATGCTAGAGCAACCTTAGGATCCAGAGGGGCCAAAACGTTTTATCTGATATCTCAAAAAGTCTTGGCAATTTGTTATGCATCATAGAAGGGAAGTTGTTCAAAATAATAAATAGCAGAGGCAGAGATCATTTAAAGTCGTTAAAATACCGTCACTTCCGGTCAGACCGGAAGTATTTGTAAATGGCTCGTTTTTTGCACTCATAACCGTAAATGTCTATCAATCTCGATATCATCTTCTTCAGAATTAGACGGAAGACTTATTTGTTGCTTTGCAACAAGCTCGTCTAGTAAGAAATAACTTCTATCACCTTTCTGAGCATTAATCTCTTGCAATACCACTATTTATTCTGACTTTTAACCTTGTAAGTAGAGGCTCAATTAACCAAAACAAATGACCTTGACCTTTGACCTTGACCTTTGTCATTTGACCTTGACCTTTGACCTTGACCTTTAAAGTTAATTCAAAATTCATATCCAAGCTATAAAATACAAAACTCGCTTATTTATTATTCAACACCCCCCCCCCTTTTATTAAACCAGAGTAACCTAGATTTCACCTCTTGAACTCATACGCCATCCGGTATCCACATAAAACTGCGGAAACATGTAGAAGAAACCTCAAAGAAAGTGTATTTAAAGTTTAACAGTGATCCTGCACATTATATAGAAGTTATAAATTTTCTCGGCAATAAAAAAAAAAAAAAACTGGAACGACGCATCAGCAACGTAGAATTTTTTTTTAAACGCATGCCAAATTTCTGATTGACTTGTAATAATCAGGAACATGTAGAAGAGACCTCAAAGAAAGTGTATTTAAAGTTTGTTTTTTTTTCAGTGATCCTGCACATTATATAGAAGTCATAAATTTGCTCGGCAATAGAAAAAAAACAAGAGGCCCATGGGCCACATCGCTCACCTGGGTAACTTGGGTGATGCAGATCTTTTTTAAAGATTTGATCTATATATATTTCTATGTAAAACTTGGATTCCCTATTGTGGCCCCGCCCTACCCCCGGGGGTCATGATTTCACAATTTAATATCTACACTACCCAAGGATGCTCCCACATAATGTTCAGCTTTCCTGGCCCAGTAATTCTTGAGAAGAAGATTTCTAAAGATTTGTTCTATATATTTATATGTAAAACTTGGATTCCCTATTGTGGCCCCGCCCTACCCCCGGGAGTCATGATTTTAACAATTTAATATCTACCCTACCCAAAGATGCTTCCATATAAGTTTCAGCTTTCCTGGCCCAGCGGTTCTTGAGAAGAAGATTTTTAAAGATTTGTTCTATATATTTCTATGTAAAACTTGGATTCCCTAAAATAATTGATTTTAACAATTTAATATCTACCCTACCCAAAGATGCTTCCACATAAGTTTCAGCTTTCCTGGCCCAGTGGTTCTTGAGAAGAAGATTTTCAAAGATTTGTTCTATAAATTTCTATGTAAAACTTGGATTCCCTATTGTGGCCCCGCCCTACCCCCGGGGGTCATGATTTTAACAATTTAATATCTACCCTACCCAAAGATGCTTCCACGTAAGTTTCAGCTTTTCTGGCCCAGTGGTTCTTGAGAAGAAGATTTTTAAAGATTTGTTCTATATATTTATATTAAAACTTGGATTCCCTATTGTGGCCCCGCCCTACCCCTGGGGGTCATGATTTTAACAATTTAATATCTACACTACCCAAGGATGCTTCCATGTAAGTTTCAGCTTTCCTGGCCCAGTGGTTCTAGAGAAGAAGATTTTTAAAGATTTGTTCTATATATTTCTATGTAAAACTTGGATTCCCTATTGTGGCCCCGCCCTACCCCCGGGGGTCATGATTTTAACAATTTAATATCTACCCTACCCAAAGATGCTTCCACATAAGTTTCAGCTTTCCTGGCCTAGTGGTTCTTGAGAAGAAGATTTTTTAATGACCCCACCCTATTTTTGTATTTTCTTGATTATCTCCCCTTGGAAGGGGTCTTGGCCCTTGATTTTAACAATTTAAATTCCCCTTCACCTAAGGATGCTTTGTACCAAGTTTGGTTAAAATTGGCCCAGTGGTTCTTGAGAAGAAGTTGAAAATGTGAAAAGTTTACAGACGGACGGACGGACAGACAGACAGCTAGACAGACGGACGGACGGACGGACGACGGACAACGGGTGATCAGAAAAGCTCACTTGAGCTTTCAGCTCAGGTGAGCTAAAAACTGGAACGACGCATCAGCAACGTAGAATTTTTTTTTTAACTCATGCCAAATTTCTAATTGACTTGTAATATTCAGGAACATGTAGAAGAGACCTCAAAGAAAGTGTATTCAAAGTTTTACAGTGATACTGCTCATTAAATAGAAGTTATAAATTTTCTCGGCAATTGAAAAAAAAAAATTCAAACCTGGAACGATGCATCAGCAACGTAGAATATTTTTTGAAAACTCATGCTAAATTTCTGATTGACTTGTAATATTCAGGAACATGTAGAACAGATCACAGCAATATCTTCTGTGTAGTTTCACGGCCAGATTTTATAGGAAACAGAAATTATGAATTTTTACGGCATGAACATCTCATTTTTCGTGATGGAAATTTCCCGTGCAAATGATAAAACATGTCATAAAAAGCTTTTGTCGCCCATTTTTTTTAATGTTTAAGTTGCACTAAATTCTACTAATATGATATAATATTTTAATACCGAACATCTTTCAATTTGCTTTCCTGGGGAGTAAATGCAATGTTTGTTTACATTTGAGCAATACACAGAAATACGCGGAAATAGCGGTTCTCGGTATAATAAGTATAATGTACCCTTACCATGTTGTGTTTCCCATTCAGAAATAAGTGTTTACCATTAAATAAATCATTTAATCTTGATACATGATTGTTCACACATAAATTCACAGTGATTTCGCTGTGATTCATGTAAATTCGAAATGTGTGTCAAGTAGCGAACCCGACTTTCGCAGATTTCATTCTCATGTAAACAAACCGGCCAGCCTGTCCAGCTCTTCTTGTGGACATGAATTAAACAACATTTCCTGATATATTTAAAACAGAAAGCAAGTGCAGAATATTTTTTTTATTAAACAACTTCTCATTATACACCAATCAGGTAAAGCAGCAATCTTTTCTGTCCGCGCAATCTTGTGCCACAGCTAGCATTATTAAGGTCTTCCGTCTTCAGCGGAAGACCTTACTGTTATTCTTAGGTTTCTTTTCCACTATTTTTATTTTTGTTTTTTTTTCTTACCGATTTTGTGCGCGCGATTTCTCGAGAAAAGCTCGATCGATTTTCATGAAACTTTCAGGTCTGATAGAACATAAAAAAATCTAGAGATATATTTTTTTATTTTGATGACGTCACTTCCGGTCCGGAGATTTCTGCGATTTAGTGATTTTTAGAGGGTCACTTTGTCCGGCAGTTTTCTCAAAAAGCACTTAACACAGAAGCATGAAATTTTCAGTGATGCTAGAGCAACCTTTGGAGATGTGCACTAAGTATATCACAACTACCGGAAGTACGAAGTGTCGACGCTCGCTATGGCCCGAAAATAGTCCTACCAAGAATTTCAAAATTTTTAACACCTTTTCTACGATAACTTTTTACCTAGAAATATGTTGTTAAAACATGTAGAACAAAAGAAGTGTAGAATTGCATGATCTTTCAAATGATATCCAAGAAAAAGGGCTGGCCCCTAAAATAAGGGATCCAGTGGGGCCAAAACGTTTTATCTGATATCTCAAAAAGTCTTGGCAATTTGTTATGCATCATAGAAGGGAAGTTGTTCAAAATAATAAATAGCAGAGGCAGAGATCATTTAAAGTCGTTAAAATACCGTCACTTCCGGTCAGGCCGGAAGTATTTGTAAATGGCTCGTTTTTTGCACTCATAACCGTAAATGTCTATCAATCTCGATATCATCTTCTTCAGAATTAGACGGAAGACTTATTTGTTGCTTTGCAACAAGCTCGTCTAGTAAGAAATAACTTCTATCACCTTTCTGAGCATTAATCTCTTGCAATACCACTATTTATTCTGACTTTTAACCTTGTAAGTAGAGGCTCAATTAACCAAAACAAATGACCTTGACCTTTGACCTTGACCTTTGTCATTTGACCATTTGACCTTGACCTTTAAAGTGAATTCAAAATTCATATCCAAGCTATAAAATACAAAACTCGCTTATTTATTATTCAACACCCCCCCCCCTTTTATTAAACCAGAGTAACCTAGATTTCACCTCTTGAACTCATACGCCATCCGTATCCACATAAAACTGCGGAAACATGTAGAAGAAACCTCAAAGAAAGTGTATTTAAAGTTTTACAGTGATCCTGCACATTATATAGAAGTTATAAATTTTCTCGGCAATAGAAAAAAAAAGAAAAAACTGGAATGACGCATCAGCAACGTAGAATTTTTTTTTTAACGCATGCCAAATTTCTGATTGACTTGTAATAATCAGGAACATGTAGAAGAGACCTCAAAGAAAGTGTATTTAAAGTTTGTTTTTTTTTCAGTGATCCTGCACATTATATAGAAGTCATAAATTTGCTCGGCAATAGAAAAAAAAACAAGAGGCCCATGGGCCACATCGCTCACCTGGGTAACTTGGGTGATGCAGATCTTTTTTAAAGATTTGATCTATATATATTTCTATGTAAAACTTGGATTCCCTATTGTGGCCCCGCCCTACCCCCGGGGGTCATGATTTCACAATTTAATATCTACACTACCCAAGGATGCTCCCACATAATGTTCAGCTTTCCTGGCCCAGTGGTTCTTGAGAAGAAGATTTCTAAAGATTTGTTCTATATATTTCTATGTAAAACTTGGATTCCCTATTGTGGCCCCGCCCTACCCCCGGGAGTCATGACTTTAACAATTTAATATCTACCCTACCCAAAGATGCTTCCATATAAGTTTCAGTTTTCCTGGCCCAGCGGTTCTTGAGAAGAAGATTTTTAAAGATTTGTTCTATATATTTCTATGTAAAACTTGGATTCCCTATTGTGGCCTCGCCCTACCTCTGGGTCATGATTTTAACAATTTAATACCTACACTACCCATGGATGCTTCCATGTAAGTTTCAGCTTTCCTGGCCCAGTGGTTTTTGAGAAGAAGATTTTTAAAGATTTGTTCTATATATTTTTATGTAAAACTTGGATTCTCTATTGTGGCCCCGCCGTACCCTCGGGGATCATGATTTTAACAATTTAATATCTACCCTACCCAAGGATGCTTCCACATAAGTTTCAGCTTTCCTGGCCCAGTAGTTCTTGAGAAGAAGATTTTCAAAGATTTGTTCTATAAATTTCTATGTAAAACTTGGATTCCCTATTGTGGCCCCGCCCTACCCCCGGGGGTCATGATTTTAACAATTTAATATCTACCCTACCCAAAGATGCTTCCACGTAAGTTTCAGCTTTTCTGGCCCAGTGGTTCTTGAGAAGAAGATTTTTAAAGATTTGTTCTATATATTTATATTTAAACTTGGATTCCCTATTGTGGCCCCGCCCTACCCCTGGGGGTCATGATTTTAACAATTTAATATCTACACTTCCCAAGGATGCTTCCATATAAGTTTCAGCTTTCCTGGCCCAGCGGTTCTTGAGAAGAAGATTTTTAAAGATTTGTTCTATATATTTCTATGTAAAACTTGGATTCCCTATTGTGGCCCCGCCCTACCCCCGGGAGTCATGATTTTAACAATTTAATATCTACACTACCCAAGGATGCTTCCATATAAGTTTCAGCTTTCCTGGCCCAGTGGTTCTTGAGAAGAAGATTTTTAAAGATTTGTTCTATATATTTCTATGTAAAACTTGGATTCCCTATTGTGGCCCCGCCCTACCCCCGGGGGTCATGATTTTAACAATTTAATATCTACCCTACCCAAAGATGCTTCCACGTAAGTTTCAGCTTTTCTGGCCCAGTGGTTCTTGAGAAGAAGATTTTTAAAGATTTGTTCTATATATTTATATTTAAACTTGGATTCCCTATTGTGGCCCCGCCCTACCCCTGGGGGTCATGATTTTAACAATTTAATATCTACACTTCCCAAGGATGCTTCCATATAAGTTTCAGCTTTCCTGGCCCAGTGGTTCTTGAGAAGAAGATTTTTAAAGATTTGTTCTATATATTTCTATGTAAAACTTGGATTCCCTATTGTGGCCCCGCCCTACCCCCGGGAGTCATGATTTTAACAATTTAATATCTACCCTACCCAAAGATGCTTCCATATAAGTTTCAGCTTTCCTGGCCCAGCGGTTCTTGAGAAGAAGATTTTTAAAGATTTGTTCTATATATTTCTATGTAAAACTTGGATTCCCTATTGTGGCCTCGCCCTACCTCTGGGTCATGATTTTAACAATTTAATACCTACACTACCCATGGATGCTTCCATGTAAGTTTCAGCTTTCCTGGCCCAGTGGTTTTTGAGAAGAAGATTTTTAAAGATTTGTTCTATATATTTTTATGTAAAACTTGGATTCTCTATTGTGGCCCCGCCCTACCCCCGGGGATCATGATTTTAACAATTTAATATCTACCCTACCCAAAGATGCTTCCACATAAGTTTCAGCTTTCCTGGCCCAGTAGTTCTTGAGAAGAAGATTTTCAAAGATTTGTTCTATAAATTTCTATGTAAAACTTGGATTCCCTATTGTGGCCCCGCCCTACCCCCGGGGGTCATGATTTTAACAATTTAATATCTACCCTACCCAAAGATGCTTCCACGTAAGTTTCAGCTTTTCTGGCCCAGTGGTTCTTGAGAAGAAGATTTTTAAAGATTTGTTCTATATATTTATATTGTAAAACTTGGATTCCCTATTGTGGCCCCGCCCTACCCCTGGGGGTCATGATTTTAACAATTTAATATCTACACTTCCCAAGGATGCTTCCATGTAAGTTTCAGCTTTCCTGGCCCAGTGGTTCTAGAGAAGAAGATTTTTAAAGATTTGTTCTATATATTTCTATGTAAAACTTGGATTCCCTATTGTGGCCCCGCCCTACCCCCGGGGGTCATGATTTTAACAATTTAATATCTACCCTACCCAAAGATGCTTCCACATAAGTTTCAGCTTTCCTGGCCTAGTGGTTCTTGAGAAGAAGATTTTTTAATGACCCCACCCTATTTTTGTATTTTCTTGATTATCTCCCCTTGGAGGGGGTCTTGGCCCTTGATTTTAACAATTTAAATTCCCCTTCACCCAAGGATGCTTTGTACCAAGTTTGGTTAAAATTGGCCCAGTGGTTCTTGAGAAGAAGTTGAAAATGTGAAAAGTTTACAGACGGACGGACGGACAGACAGACAGCTAGACAGACGGACAGACGGACGGACGGACGACGGACAACGGGTGATCAGAAAAGCTCACTTGAGCTTTCAGCTCAGGTGAGCTAAAAACTGGAACGACGCATCAGCAACGTAGAATTTTTTTTTTAACTCATGCCAAATTTCTGATTGACTTGTAATATTCAGGAACATGTAGAAGAGACCTCAAAGAAAGTGTATTCAAAGTTTTACAGTGATACTGCTCATTAAATAGAAGTTATAAATTTTCTCGGCAATTGAAAAAAAAAAATTCAAACCTGGAACGATGCATCAGCAACGTAGAATATTTTTTGAAAACTCATGCTAAATTTCTGATTGACTTGTAATATTCAGGAACATGTAGAACAGATCACAGCAATATCTTCTGTGTAGTTTCACGGCCAGATTTTATAGGAAACAGAAATTATGAATTTTTACGGCATGAACATCTCATTTTTCGTGATGAAAAAAAAATTTCCCGTGCAAATGATAAAACATGTCATAAAAAGCTTTTGTCGCTTTCCATTTTTTTTAATGTTTAAGTTGCACTAAATTCTACTTAATATGATATAATATTTTAATACCGAACATCTTTCAATTTGCTTTCCTGGGGAGTAAATGCAATGTTTGTTTACATTTGAGCAATACACATAAATATACGCGGAAATAGCGGTTCTCAAAAAAGGTGACAATGCAATAAGTATAATGTACCCTTACCATGT